TTCATTTAAAGCTATACAGGGTGTCCCACGACTTATTCCCCACCGGACACTGGCATATTCTCCGTTGAAAATAGAACAAGATGCAATTTGTCCGAATGAAATCGGTTGCAGCGTTCTCGAGAAAATAAATATTAAAAATTTAGAAATATTATCATTTTAAGTGATGATTTCCAATCACCGCCAAAAGAAAACAATAGCAGTAGAAAAAGTAGAGTTGCAGTAGAAAAGGAAAGTGGCGGGCGTTTGATTCTGTGAACACATTCACTCAAGTAGAAACAGTAATATTATCATTGGACTATAACTTCTCGAATATGAGACATTCAATCGCACACTTTTTAAAGTTGGATCAGGAAAATGGTAATGTTCTGAATGGTATTTATTAATGTATGTATGTACTCTTTAATCTTTTTCCCGTACTTTCCTGTACTTTCTCATGTACTTTTTCCCCTACATTTTCTTCTACATTTTCCCGTATACTTTCCTGTACTGTTTCCCTATAAATTTGGAACGCAATATCTCCCTTATTATGTATGCTACCCTTACGAATTTTTGTTTCATCTCCATTTTTTCTTGCTCTGCAACTTTTTTAATTAACTTTTTCTGATATCATTTGAAATGGTTAAAATAATTGTTTTTATTTGCGAACGGTAGTTAAACGAACAATAATAATATGCCCATTCGATTTTATTTCGTGTCGAATTAAGTTTTTTCGAGCCTCGTAAGCTGCGTACGCTCGTCACATATTTGAGAGGCTATAGTCTGATGATAATGTTAGTTTCTGCTTGAGTTGATATACATATTTGTAGAATTAAATTCCCGGCACTTTCCGCCACTACCTTTTAGCATAGCGCAATTCCTAGCCCTAAGTAACATTGTACCTCTCATACGATGTCTCGTAATAGTGACTTCTTCATAACGGTGCCAATGGTTTCGAATGAAATAAAAGTCATTTTGTAATTTATTTTTGTCTATTATTATAAACAGAAACATCGAATGCATATGTACATATGTATGTATAACTGTGTCATTTAAACAGACAGAAGACACGTTCTTCGTGCGGTATCGGTGTACAAGGGATTTTTTCACTTTTTCACTTGGGATTCCGGAGGGTATCACACAATTTTGTAACGCAGGTGTTGAATTCCTAATGCGTGAGTTGAAATCCTCGTTCGGTATTATTAAATACAAAAACTAAAAATCATTTTATGAAAAATACATATTTACTGTAATTTCGGATTTCTCAATCAAATCTAAATAGTAAGATAAAACTCATACTCTTTGTTGCACGAAGTATCGCTTCGAGAATGCATCTTCTATTACCTCTCCCAGTTCCTGATATTAGTGCTAAGTTCAGTCTCCCTAAAATGCTAAGTAAAATCCATCTTGTCATTTCTTTCGATTTTTCAGTCCAATGTCGTTGTATTTCAACCAAGTCTAGCTCAGAGATTAGAACTGCACTTCCACCTATGAGCTCAACCTCTTTTGTAGTATTATTAGTAATAAAATTATGCTCGGTCTCATTGTCATCGTCATTGCGTTCATTATCATTTGGTGCCGTACTGTCGTTGTTTGTATTATCACCATCACCGTCTTCGTCGACGTTATCGTTATTGTCGTCATCCATCTATGTATCTATCTATCTATCTATCTATCTATCTATCTATCTATCTATCTATCTATCTATCTATCTATCTATCTATCTATCTATCTATCTATCTATCTATCTATCTATCTATCTATCTATCTATCTATCTATCTATCTATCTATCTATCTATCTATCTATCTATCTATCTATCTATCTATCTATCTATCTATCTATCTATCTATCTATCTATCTATCTATCTATCTATCTATCTATCTATCTATCTATCTATCTATCTATCTATCTATCTATCTATCTATCTATCTATCTATCTATCTATCTATCTATCTATCTCTTCCCATACATTTCCCTGAGTGAAGGAATAAAACAAGAATTGGTATCTGCCAGGTTCCCCTGATTTAAATCCATAAAACGTTTGTACTTTTATTGTACTTCTTTTACTTTTTCTATGAATGAGTATACATACATACTTTCTCCCATACTTTTTAAGTGACAATCTGGAGTAAAATAATTAGCGTAAATAGTCGCTAATAAATGGATAAATTACCATAAATAAAAACAAAAGTTTTAATGGTAGTCATTTGTAATTATTATTATTAAAATTATAGAAACTGCTCAAAATGACCACCTTCGGCATTTATGCACATACGCAATCGCATAACGAACAAGTCTGATACTCGCTGCAACATCTGCTCCGTCACTTCAGCGAACGCTTGATGGAGCCGAAGATTTAATTCTGACTCGCTGACGGGTGAATCTTGCCGAAAATAAACCTTCTGTTTAATAAAACCCCAAAGAAAGAAATTCAAAGGATTTAGATCGGGTGATCGGTGTGGCCATGCAACAGGCCCGCCTCTACCGAACAAGTGCTCGGGAAAAGTGTTATTAAGAAATGTTCGCACGTTTCGAAAATAATGAGCTGGAGCCCCATCGTGCTGGAAAAACATGCTTCTTCTGACTTGAGGTGGTATTTCATCATTTATCATATTTAAGAAGTCTCCTTTGAGAAACTGTAAATAGTTATTCCCATTTATATTACTTGGTAAAATCACAGGCCCAATCTAAACAGAAAAGATGGAAAATAATACATTAATATCGTGAATTGTTCTACTGATTTGTCGTGTTTAATCAATTATTGACTGATTCGCTTCATTTATTTTCAATTCAATTTACCAGTTGATTTCCGAATATTCCACACCACAAGTTAATGCTGAATCGCACTTGAAAATTTTGTGACCTCGTTAAAAATGGGTTTTGTACTGCCCAATGGTGATTATTATGACAATTAATCATACCCCCGCGATCAAATTTACATTCGTCGCTAAATAGTATATTTTGAATAAAACTCGAATTTTCTTCAAACTTGTGCAATGCCCACTGGCAAAATTGCAGCCTTTGAGGTTTGTCGGTTGGATTCAGTAGTTGTACACGTGTATAATAGTATGGATGAAGCAAGGCTTCCTTCCATATTCTATGAAAACTTGATTTGCTTATTCCAGTTAGGTTAACTACCTCTCGTGTACTGGTTGTTCGATCATTTTCGACTAGATTCATGACACGTTGCTTAGCGTGATATTGAACTGGCCGAGCATCACCGCCTCCTTCTATACCACGACGCGGAAGAACCGAACCAGTTTCCGTTTGACGTCGAACTACCGCGAGGACTGTTTTGTGACTGTTTTGTGAGAAAATTAGCAATAATGTGCTTTAGATCTATTATTTTTTGTGAAATAAGTTTTGTTACTTTTTCGGAATAGCATTAGGGTTGGTTGAATGAGGTGTATGCATGAATGCTAAGTATGAAATGAATGAAGTTGAATAATTATAATTTTATTGTTTATTATATTACTTTAGTTAATATGCTTTGCAACTAGCAGGAAATTCAATGTATACAAAACGATATTATAATTTGAAATTCTGTTAGTGATAGTTGAAGAATTTGTGTGGAAAGTATTGTACTGCTTTTGAATGGGTTGTTACATCGCCTCTCCCTGTTGTTCTTGATTCTGTTGGATATCAGTTAGACGTTACTGATTCATTGTAAACATAGGGGAAAAAATGGAGAATTTCTTTTTCTTTCTTTATTTAATTCACGGCTTCGACCTTAGGGATCATCAGGCGAAACTTCTGTCGCTTTATCGGCGACTTGAATGGATAACGTGAGTAGTTATACAAGGAGAGTTCTGGACCAAGATTCCTGCACCGACATATTACCGACCTGTGGGTTCTCATCCGTGCTAAGTTGGGACGTGGTGCCCCCTAGGTGAGCGACGTTGGCGCCCCCTGGGTGAGCGACGTTGGCGCCCCCTGGGTGAGCGACGTTGGCGCCCCCTGGGTGAGCGACGTTGGCGCCCCCTGGGTGAGCGACGTTGGCGCCCCCTGGGTGAGCGACGTTGGCGCCCCCTGGGTGAGCGACGTTGGCGCCCCCTGGGTGAGCGACGTTGGCGCCCCCTGGGTGAGCGACGTTGGCGCCCCCTGGAAGCGGTCCTGCTCAACGACTGATAATTTGCTGCCGGCGAAAAAACAGCAAATTCAAAATAACGGACTTTGAACGGATGAGGAATTTGTCTATAGAGATACGGTTTATGAGTTAATGAATTGAAAAGTTTGGCTCAACAAAACGGAGCTTCCTATTTTCAATTTAATATTTTACACTTCAGAACTAATAGAAGCACTATCAAAAACCCCCTGTTTGCGAGTTTCATGAAACTTTAATTGCATATTTTAATCGATTTTGATGTCCACTATATTGGGCTTGCAATTTTGAATTTCTTAGTTCTTATTTCAAATTCAATTAGAGCATCATTGAAAATCCTGTATGTCAAGTTTTATGAAGTTTTATACAATAATTTCGGAAATAAAAGGTTCTGTATACTCGTCTCGGAGGTATCAAAAATCAAATTTCATGAGTTTACAACTGTAACTTTAATTTCTGTGAATTAGATCCTCCATAATGGTATTATTAATTTTAAGAAATATTGAAAACTGAAGAATTTTTCACGTGGTATTAAATGACACTCAGGAATAATAGTCGTTCATAATGGAGGATTCCGAATGTAACATGAAGTATGGCAATTAGAGTGAAGTTTAGTTGTTTCTTTATTAGGCCTATAAAAGTAACGATCAATGGTTTCATTCACAAACTTAATGAAATTGACAGTGTCAATGGTATAAGATTACCTGTTAATTAATACCGGTTCGGTTTACGACGTTGCAACAATCAATGGAGGCAGGTACGACCGTCGATTTCGAGGTAGTACCAACCACCTACAGTGACTAACTGAATACATAACTAATTCTTTATACCTAAGAAACGTTGCCAATCATTCCAAAGAGTTTAAAATTATTGATTTCATATAAAGATTTTTCAAAAAGAAGTGTTTTTAGGGGGGGGGGGGCAAGGACACGCGGTGTTCCCAAGCGGTCACCCATCCAAGTACTGACCGCGCCCAACGTTGCTTAAACTTAAGTGATCGGACGAGAACTTGTGTATTCAACGTGGTATGGACCTTGCCGACAGTATTCAGCTACGTGTCTACATATAACAATCTTTATTTATGATACATATTCATCTGTGTTTATACACAGAACATTTTATAAATATTCAGTTTGATTAGATTTTATTTTAGATTAGATTAGAGTTTATAACAATGATTAGATTTTATAACAATGTCATTCTTATCATCATTGATTAATATTTTTATATTAATGTTAAATTATTTCTAAAATATGCTCAAACTACATTAAGGGGAGCAAACCATTTAGACGCCCGAAAATGAGTCATTTTTTATGAATTTTTTTTGAAGGTGATAAATAATCGCATCATTTTTAAATTTTAATATCGTTTTACTCCACTTTTGAAGCGTAGAAAAACTTTTTTTTGTTTTAAGACAAAATAGCGGCTCTCTACGGTATTTCTCCAAGCGTCTTTTACGTGGCACCAAAAGGTGCTGCATTTGTAACATTTTTTGTATTAATCTGAAACCAAAAAAAAAACAATTTTTTTTCCGATTACTGACATGTGCAGGGGAGGGATAAACCTATAAAACGATGAAATAGTATAAAATTAAAAATTAAGTAGGCTGTTTAATGAAATGTTCAAATTTTCGATTATTTTTTCGACAATTTTTACCCCAAAAAAGTAATTTATTTAAGCGATATCTTTAAAACTTTACGTACATCTTTCTGATAATGTTACAGACAGAAACCTCCCAAAAATTCAGCCAGATCGATCAATAACTATTTGAGTTACAGCACGAGCAGTTTTTGAAAATGTAGTTTCGAAATAATCGCGTTTAAAGTTTCAATACGATAAAGCTATTAGTTTTAGTGTCTTATCGATCAATCAGCGATTGCAGACGTATATAATAAACCTTCAGCCTCCTCGAAAAGCTGATTATCTTCCATTTGCTGTTGTTTTCTGACTATACGAGCTGCTTTTGTCTCACAAAGACTCATCCGACTCTTCCTCGCTACTCGCACCTCATCGGTGTTTTCAGCGAAAACTTTCGAGTAGGTGCCAACAATGATACTTAAGTTATTCATAATTCTAAGAATGGAGGTATAGCCTTCATTAAATATCCCAGCAGTAATATAGGCTGAGATTTCAATAATTTTTAATCCAGAATGCACGTGCTTTGGAGATAATTGCCAAACTGTCGCGTTAAAACTTTCATTGGCATCCTTTGTATCGCCACCCAAGCATCTTTCCAGTAAATCATCCCTAGATAATTCTTTATAAATTTGTAGGAGATGCTCTTTCATCTCTTCGCGAAGTAATGGAATAAGATTTTCAAGTTTTGGATCTTTTTTTAAAGCGATAGCTTTCTGCCACTTGCACCAGCTCTCGGCTCCAGTCGGGCAGTTTCCATGATTCGGCTCGTCTTTTGTTAAAAAAATATGATAACAAGTGGCCATAATTTCTTTTTTCATATTTTCAACACTATTTACGTTTCTCTGAATACCTAAACCATCATATTTTGTGAGTTTTTTTACAACCTTATCCGTCAACTTTCCTTTTCCCGAAAGTTTTTTTTCTTTTCTTACATTTCGAAATCTGGTGTCCATTCTCTTTTCAACGTGGTCAATACACTTGCTTTTTACAACATTCAGCTCGTTACCATAAGGATCCAATTCTAGAATGAAATTTTTTAAATATTTTACGCCGAACTTCTCTTCCGATGTTGAAAACATTTCTTTCATAGCATCAACCTCCATTTTTCCCGATGAGCCCTCGTGACTGTTCATGAATTTTTCTTCCTGATACTCAAACCATTTACGATATTCTTTACTATGAGTCTTATCTTTCCAGGACGTACAATCTTGGCAATAACTGCTTTTTACAACCAAATCAATCACCTATGAGCGTTGTAACACCATGCCATGATTTGAACCCACGCTTTTTCCATGTACTGTCACCAGAGACTTTCAGATCATTTTCTTCCCTTCCATGTTCAATATTTTTTTCTATCTCTTTTTTAACAGCATTTTGTGAAACAAATTCAAATGATGACTTAGCAGCTGCATGAATATGCTCGGCAATTGTAGTGTAACTGCCTTGACTCAATCCAGTGCACATGTCCATAAGATTGCAAAATACATTTATTCCTTCTCTTGCAACACCCAAAAGTCTCATGACTAACACTATCCTTCGATTTATTTCGTAACTAGTATCAGTAAATGGTCCTGAGATAATTTCTTTATTACCACACCGACACGTAACGACAATTTTAAAACCTAGGCCTCTCGACCCTAACTCTTCAAAACTTATTCTTTGCTTGCATGTAGAACAAATCAAAATTTTTGACAGAGCAGTAAACACAGTGAAAACCTCAATAATTCTGTATCCGTGCGAAGGATTTGTACGGATATCCTCACTGCTGGCAGTCTGTAATCTTTTCTCACTCGCACTTGCATCGTCACTTGTACTCGGCCCGAAACTCTCTCTGTACTTATCTGTACATTGATTACCTTGATAATCTCTTTTTCTAGAATATCTTCGAGCGATGTTACCTCGAGTTCCTTTAGGATAGTTTGGCATTTAAAGGATTAGGAAAGGATTGGCATTTAGGATAGTTTGGCGTTTCCAGTTAAACTGATTCTAATGCTTGGACAACGTTCGATCCGTATACCTGCAGTTACTCGCTATATATATATAACGGTCTATCAATACAATGTAAGGGTATTCCCGCTTTAAATATAGTCAATTCTCTGCCAAAACTTATAGGACAAAACAATTAGACAAAAGTATTTGTGAAAGGCTCCACCCCAAGCGCTCCGGCTACCTGACTAGCTTATTTACACCTCTTTGAATTTGGCTTCTCATTATGAAAATTAATTTAAAAAAGTTAGAGTTCTGCTTGCCCCCAGAAGAGCTCTAGAGTTCCTGACAGTTTTCAGAAATAGTTCTGTCGATTAAATACAAAAAATTGCAATATTTGAAAATGGGGGGGCCAACTCCAGGGCCCCCGCCCCCAGTTTTGAAAAAATGTAATTTTTTGGGCAGTCCTGAATAGATTAACAATAGTTCTACAGTTCTCTGTACTTTTTATCAATAGTTCGGGTCATTATCCGCTTGAAAATAAAGTTTGAAAAAATGCGTCAGCCCACCATCTTTTAGAAAATCGTTTTTTTTTTAGTGTTCCGAATAGTTCTCAAAGAGTTCTACAGTTCCCTGTACTTTTTATCAATAGTTCGGGTCATTATCCGCTTGAAAATAAAGTTTGAAAAAATGCGTCAGCCCACCATCTTTTAGAAAATCGTTTTTTTTTTAGTGTTCCGAATAGTTCTCAAAGAGTTCTACAGTTCCCTATAGGTTTTGGGTACAATACATACCCAGATTCCGTCAAAAAAAAACGATGTCAAATAAGTATTTCAAAAAATCAATTAATCGTATAAAATCCGATACTCCTGAAATACTGGATGGATTAATTAAGTCCAGGTATTCGTTTTATAGAACTCTTTTGAGAACTATCAGGAACTCCCATCAGAACTCCCGAAACTCTTCATTTTTTTGTTTTTCGAATTTATCCTACTTGCTACGGAGAATCTTTGAAATCACAGAACTCTTTCAATTTTAATTTCTCAGCTTTTTACCATAAGAATTATCGATAGAGCTCTTTGAGAACTACCCAGAACTCCCGGAACTCTTCATTTTTTTTTCAACGAATGCAGGACTAAATTGGTACTGTATTGGTACGTATACAACTTATTGAGTAATCGTTCCTGTGCAAGTAGTAAGGACAGAGTATATCCTTATGTTCTTCTTTACGTTAAGGCATAAAAATATTGCTATAACAAACAAGATGTTTAAGAAATTTTCAACAAGATTACAAACACATGAAATACGAAACTTGTTATAACTGTAAATAACCTGTGTATTGTACTTGTATTTTATTAAACTTAACTATTTTTTTATTGAAGTTTTATCATAATACTTGACCTAACAATTGAAGAAAAAAACCAAAAACATCGAATATAAGTGCGGTTAGTAATTTATATTTTTTTTATTCCAACTATCTTTTTCTTGAACTTGTCTCATCGTATTGCTTGCCTCATTTCTGTTTATCGCTACTCAAGTCAGTCAAAAAAAAAATGAAGAGTTCCAGGAGTTCTGATGGGAGTTCTGGATAGTTCTCAAATAGTTCTATCGATAATTCAGATGGGAAAAAGCTGAGCAATTACAATTGAAAGAGTTCTGTGACTTCGAAGATTTTCAAGCGGATAATGACTGGAACTATTGATAAAAAGTACAGGGAACTGTAGAACTATTGGTAATCTATTCAGAACTCCCAAACAAATTACATTTTTTCAAAAATGGTGAGCGCCGTGAAGTAAACCCCTCATTTTTTAAAATCGCGATTTTCCACATTTAATCGACAGAACTATTTCTAAAAACCATCAGGAACTCTAGAACTCTTCTGCGGGTAATCAGAACTCCAACTATTTTTCTGAAATGACCATAATGATGGGCTAACTTAACAGAGGTCTTGTTTACAGTATGCGGACCCCGGCGCTCTCGACTATGTGCAACTCCGTACATTTTTAATATTTAGATTTTTCCTTTTTCCAGTATATTCTTAATATATTATACTTTCGAAGTATGAGAAAAAAATTGATTTTTTTAAAATTGTAAATGGTTTTCTCCCCTTAACAGACGAACAAATAAAACATAGAAGTCATTAAAGACACTGTTGCAAAAATAATTATATGAATTAGATATTAGCTATATTATTATTCGAACAAAAACCATAATATAATCTAAATCTTGATTCGTGAAAGAGGTGAGGAATTCAAATTAATTAGTGCATACTATTGTAAAACGGTTTGCTCCATTTACGTATTGAAAAAGTTGGTGGCCCTGAAAAGGGCCCTTGTGTACGAAGAGTAGTTGAGAACCGGAGAAAAAAATGAACCACCAAAGCCATAGAGAGTGCCTCCTTGACGTTTCAGCGCATAGACCACGTCCATGGCAGTGACGGTTTTTCTCTTGGCATGATCGGTGAACGTAACTGCA